AGGGAAAAACTGTAATTTATGCCAAAATGGCTAGAAGGCAAACCTGGGGCATGAAATTCCAAGGAGGAAGTTCAGAAATGAGTTACAACATCTTTTAACCTCAAGTTCTACAAGAGCAAATGCTGACTTAAGGAGGCAGTTATTATTTGCTGGAAAGTTTGCCAGGTCTTAGAACAGACAGAACCTCTTTGAAGTTCCTGGCTCCAGGGGTTTTTTACTTGAGTCATTCATTTTTAGTCCCTATGGAAGTTGTACCTTGAGTAGCAAGGATGAGAGCCCTGAGGCACCTGAAGAAAAAAATCTCACAAGGGTTTTATCATTCTTGTTTTAGAGGTTAGAAAACAGACGAGCAAAAAGATTACTGTGACTTCTCCTATGCCACATTGCCTGGAAAGAGCAGATCCAGGACTCAATGGGTTGGCCTGACTTGGAAGACTTTGTCACTGGGACCTGAAGAAAGCTTTTAATAGACAGCCACAGTGACAAATGGAAGGAGAACTCGAGGGAATTCCTAACTGAGAACTATCTGAGGACCCTGGATGAAGACATAAGCTCAAACTAAACCCAAAAAGCCTTTTCAGGTTTCTTGATTCAACATCATCTCTTTGCTCCTCACTACTATTCTTTCTATCTTAGAGAATCACCATAATCCTTTGTGATTTTCAGTGATGAAGTATCTTTCTATCCAGATTTTCTACCCTTTCCCCAAACTTCTGGTAATTCCTTTGATCAGTACTTTCTTTTCTTGGAATCTCTTCATTCTTTTGCTCCAACCTGGCTTCCTAGAGAAATAAGCAGTACTATTAAAGGTAAGGGTAAAACAATGAAAAGCCATCAGAATATCCAGGCTTAACTTTTTAATTTAGCCTGACTCCAGAAGCCCACTCACTTCTGAGTAAGTGGACTATGAAACTTAAGAGGAACTTAACCATCTTAATCCTTAACAGAGGAATGACCCTAAGTAGAGGGACTATCTACCATCTCTGAACTGGGAACTGCAC